CCAATAATGTATTGTGTCACGTCTCTGCCATCCCAACAAGTATGACAGCACGCTTTCTTTATAGAACCAGAGAGAACGAAGATGACTGGATTTTGCAAAAAGGTGAGGAATTTTGTTGTAATTTTTAACGACAATTTCTTATAAATATGTTTAAGTGAGTAATTAAAAGTGATTTGATTTTGGTGTTGAAGGAACTCGGTGAAGAAGCCGATTCCAGTTTAAAAGATGTAGAATTAAAATATAAGCTTTTAAGTTCTAAAGAATATTTCAAAGATAAAGATTTTGTCTCTTGTCATAATAATTAATGATCTCCATTTATGCTTATGTATGGTCATGAAGCTAGAGGTCCCTTAGCTGTATTAAAATCATCATGGTCTGGTGAAATACCATTACCCTCAATCTAAATTCAGCAATTGATCATCTACAAGAATTAAAGATAAATTTAGAAAAAAGCATCTGAGCTCGCTTCTTTATCTGTCGTGGAAAAACAAGAAGATTACCCATATTACTTTAACTGTCGCAAAAGTATGAAAGAATTTAAAAATGGTGATCTATTATATTTACTTATACCAGACTCTAGCAACAAGCTATATGCTAAGTGGACAGGTCCAGGTGAAATTGTTGAAAGAGTAAATCCTCATTCTTATAAGGTTAAATTACCAGACGGGAGTGTGCGGCATGTTCAAGTAAACAAAATAAGAAAATTTTATGTTCGAGCATAAACTGTAGAAGTAATATTTGATGATGATTCTGAGTTTGGGGAAATTTGTCCAACTCCAAATAAAGGGGATTGCACAGCAACTAGAAGAGACATTGAGGTGGATATTAGTCATTTTGAGGGTAGCAAACAAAAGTAATTACATGAGCTTTTACTCAAGCACATCATGTTATTTTCTGGTGAGATCCAAATAGCCAGTGTTGATGAACATAGAATTCAGTTGTTACCTGGAGCTTAAAGGAAAAAAACCATATATCTATAAGATCCCAGAATCTTTGAAACCCGGAGTAGATAAACAGATGGAAGAATTAGAGAGTTTGGGTCTTATTAAGCCAAGTGAAGCTGAAATAGCATACCCAGTCATATGTGTTGCCAAGAAAGACGGAAGTATGAGTTGTATTGACTTCAGGTTGTTGAACCAAGTAACCAAGCTTGCTGATTTTCCAATGGAGAATATGACTGATCTAATCAATAAAATTGGACACGTGAATATTATCACCTGTTTAGATGTTTTGAAAGGTTACTGGGAAATACCTTTAGAAGAAGAAAGTCGTGATTTAACATCATTCAAGACTCATCGTTCCCAATACCGTTGGAAGGTGATGCCTTTCGGATTAAAAAATGCAACTTCTACTTTTCAGCGAGTGATGAATGATACCTTAAGAAAATATAGTGATTTTTGCAAAGCCTACATTGATGATATTGCTATTTTTCCCCAGATTGGAATTCGCATCTCAAACATTTAGATGCTGTGCTAACTACATTAAGTGATCTCAGATTTACGGTGAATGTGAGGAAATGTGTTTTTGCCCGTTCGGAGATAAAGTATTTAGGACATATAATGGGAGCTGGAAGACATCAACCTGATCCTGAAAAATTACAAGCCATTGAAATTATAAAAAGTCCTATAATGAAGGCTGCTCTAAAGAGTGCATTAGGCTTATTCAACGATTATCGTGATTACATAAAGAATTATGCAGAAATAGCTCGCCCATTGACGGAGCTAAAATACGAAAAAGAAAATTCCCAAGATAATTGGGTGGACTGATATTGAGGAATCAGCATTTTAAGATCTGAAACATCAACTGTGTAAAGCACCAAAACTTTACACTCCAGACTCAGAAAAACCTTACACCATACAGTGTGATGTTAGTTCATGTGGTGTTGGTGCTTTGCTTGTCACAACGAGACAGCAAAGGCAGTTTGCATCCTATCAGCTTTGCCCGTCAAAAACTTTCGAAAACTCAGAAGAACTGGTCAACTATTGAACGTGAGGCTTATGCCATTGCTTGGTCATTAAAAAAGTTTGTGTAGGTGTTTGGATCGAATATCAAGCTGATCACAGACCATAATCCATTATTATATTAGCATTAATCGGCACCTCATTCTGCCAAATTACAGAGATGGGCAACGGCACTTCAGCATTATAATATTCATATTTATCCACTGCCCTGGTGCACAATTAAAAAATGCAGACAGTCTTTCAAGACTAGTTGGTGAATGGAATAGGTGTGAACTAAGTACGAACTGATATGTTTAAAATTTTGCATTAGTTATTTTTCTTTTGTTCCGGAATTGTACAAGAACTACTTTCCATCTGTTTTGGAACAAAAAAAAAAAAAAAAAAAAAAAAAAAAAAAAAAAAAAAAAAAGGTTTTTCATTTAATGTTGCGTTGTAATATTGTGTTTTGAAATACTAATGCCCGGTATTGTATCAAGGCATCTGTTCATCTGTTGTGAGATGAATGTTTATTGCACTTATTTCAAAGTATGTTATTATGACATGTATACATGTCATATATTTTGAATTTATTTGGTTAAGAAAAAATGAGATAATGAGATAATAGGCAAGTATTGGTATTACGTTTGTAAAAGTGTTTATATATGTCATTTAAGTGCTTAATTGTTTATTTCATGTGAAATGATTTAAATATTAATAAGTGCATTAATTATTAAGCATTGGCTTTTCGAGTATACAATTTAAAAGTTCATGAACTCATTTCCTGGTTTAGTTTTCAGATTCTGCTTTGCTTTGGCGCAGCACAATCTTACCTGGCATTGTATCAAGGCATCCGAGGGGAGGGGTTATATGAATGGGAATACATACATACATATGAATGGAAATATATTAGGCACATATGAATTTGGCTGCGGTCAACCAATCAACTGTCTACCTCATGGGAAGAATCCAACAAGTGAGACAGATGAGAGCTGTCTGCAGAAAGTGTGGTAGGGCATCTACGCCTGAGTTCGAGTTGCGATTTTAGCCAGCGTGGCTGATTAATTTGTAAGGTATTAAACAACTGTGTTTCATTGAAGTAGTTTACTTAAATCATATCATATCATATCAACGTCATGTAAATATTTGTACATAAAAGTCGTGCTTCTATATAATAAAGGATTCATTTTCCAATAATGTATTGTGTCACGTCTCTGCCATCCCAACAAGCATGACAACCACATTTTTAATTTAATAATATAACCTATCAAAATAGTTTTTAGAATTTATGTTATTAACTACATTTTTATTATTTGAATTTAATCTTATACAGGGTTCATAGCCATATTTTAGTTAAAAAAATAAGCAACTATAAGCCCTTTTCAAGCACATTTAAGAAAAAAATAAGCACCTGTCTAATTACATTATACACAACTGCATAAACCTTAAAAAAAAATAGACTTGCAATTTAAAATATAGCATGCATATTTATTAAGAGAATGGGCATTACCTCAACCATGGAAACAATTAACTTTTTTTTTTAAATTTTAAATGACAGTTCAATTTACAGAATTAGTTTTACAATGAGAGAAAAAAAAACTATGCAGAACTAAACTATATTGAGATTTATGATAAAATTTCAGTTCAAAATATAGAAAATAAATAATAATAAGCCATATTTATTATATTCGCTTGACACCTAAAAATAAATTGCATTTTCTAAATAAATCGCATTTAAAAATAAATGCAATTCATTTTTCCACTCATATTAATATTTAAATAATTTAATTTAGTTCTGAAACATTTAAGTTCTGAACATTTTCTAAATTTTCATTCTATAACAGTTTTCTCTTAACAAATACTGCAAGCAAAGTAATTTAAGTAAAAATAAGTAAAGAAAAGGAACATTTCTGAAATCAGAAGACGGGAAATTGCTTCATGTAGTCATCCTGTAACAGTAAAAGCTTAACTAACCGGCTTAGTCGGAAATTGCCGAATATATGAAAATTTAGGATAGTCGAGGGTAACTGGAAAAAGAGGAAGGGGGTAGATTGTAGCTGTACTTTAGATTTTTCAGCTAAACAATGCTTTTGACATTTCGATATGTGCATCATATAAAAATAGCCCAATGGAACTGAAAAATAATCCACTTAGAAAGAACAGTAAAACTTTTTAAGTGTTCATAAATAAATCTCAAACTGACCTAAAATAATTACTCTGCAAAATACCGCAAACGTTATTGCGCAATTCTTCCATACGTGATATTATGATATTACGCAATCGGAATCGGAATCGACAGCTGCCAGTATTCGGAGAATAAAGAACTAAATAAAGGAAAAGAAAGAGACGTACTAATCTGGGGTGTTTTTGATTCTAATTTTGAACAGAACGTTAAATTTCCGGAATAGAATCATTCTTCGCTTGGGTTGGGTAGACAGCAAAACTTTTATCGCTGCTTCAATATTAGAGATTATGTGGAGAAAGGGAGACCCCAACCTCCATACTGTATAATGTATGGGGAAAAAAAAAAAAAAAAAAAAAATTATTATGACTTTCGATTACTTTTTTTTTTATTAAGCCATTCTGAATATTATTCCTTAGAAGCTAATTTTGTAAAATACACCCCTTTTTGGAATTTATCTAACTTCAGAGCTACTGCAACATATAGAAAATATTCATACATATGCTCATAATATAAGCATAATGATCATAATAAACACGAATATGAACTGACCACGCGGAACGAGAATGTAAATTATTAAAATCTGATAGAAATTTAGAAGTATGTAGTATTTGGTGGGAGGAAAAGAATACTGAATGCATGGGAATTTGTATGGTTTTCGCAATTCTTTGACCAATAGAACGACGTGCACCTGTTACTGTCTCCTGCACCCATAGGTTAGAATGAGAGAAAGGGGAAAAGCTATTCCGGGAGTATGATTCACCATCTGACTTCCATATAAGGAGGAAAAGTGTTTATATAGTTTCGGCTTTGGTACGGGGGGGCGCGTTCATTAAAAAAGCACTAAAAGCAAAAAATAAGCAATAAAAACAAAAAAATAAGGGCTTTAAAGAAAAAGTAAGCACCTATAAGGGCCCTTATATTTTATTTTCAAATATAAGGACTTATAAGCACTTGTAAGGACCACTACGAACCCTGTTATAGCAAATTTAAAATATTGATCTAAAACATTTCTTATGTGTTTTACTCTACTAGGCTGTCTAATAATTTTTAGGTCAAGCACTGAATAAATCTGATGTTTTACCTACTATGAAAGAGAAATTCATTAAAATGCATTTACTGTTAAAAATACTGATTTAAGTATTTACTATTCATTACAAACAGAAATATTTAAAAATATTAGTACATTTAAAAGTAACTAGGGGAGTACTAAAAACTTTAGTAATAACAATGTATAGGAAAATATTATAATACGACAACATAGCATTAAAACAGATGATTATTGTGCAGTCATTTACATATGATGATGATCATGAATATATCAGGTACATATCACAGTTCAAAAACAAAATAGCTTCAAAAATCAAGCCATTCTTTCATGTATGGACAAGTTGAAGGGGAAATAACACCACCTTCTTGACATTCACTGTGAACCTAAAATTAAATTTAAAAAAATGGACCAATACGTAAAAATAAATGTTAAAGAAACACATACATATACTCGTATACATGCAACAGATTGGAGAGGCATCTGTTATAGATTGGAGATTGCCTTATTGCACAGATGTAACTTGGAGACATTAGTAAATCACTTTAAAGTGTTATGCATAAAAGTGTTAAAGCTGCAATGTTAAGCTTTACTGTGAGATATAGGGTCAAAAAGTTTTGGTTTCAACTGAAATCTCTTTCCCGGATTGGATAAAAGATAGTTACAATGCATGATATGTAAAACTGTACGATGCAGATTAATTTTGAAATGATGTAATTCATCATTTCAAAATTAAGAATTAATTAAACACATTATAAACTGAAAATGATACCCTAAACAAATTTAGTAATTAAATATCTCAGTCTCAAAAATAAGCAATAAAAACAATCAATTTTTGTCATAAGGAAGTCAAACTGTTTGTGTTTTCATTTTTATAATAAGTACAAACTTTTCTTAAATAAGTACAGGTACTAGAGTAATGTACAAAAAGTTAGATTTTTGTATTTTACACTTTTTTTTTTAAATTTAAAAGTATGAAAATGCTATTCATTTTAAAACATTTTTCTAACTGGAAGAATTTTTCAGAGAGAAAAAACTGATTTTTCTACCATTAACATATTCCATTTTCAAGCAATGATTCTTGGCTGTTATGATGTAATACATTAATATTTCTCAAACATTTTAAAGGGTAGCAACAAACTTAGCCCTGTTCTTATCCGATCATGAGATTTATTGTTACTTGGTATATTTACATCGTTATTTGAAACATTTTATTATTTTTTTCCCTAATGATTGGAAGACTACAGAAACAAATTGTAAACTAAATAGTTTTATATATCTAGCTAATAAATGCTATGATGACAGCTCTTGGTACAATTCCGTTACAAGAGCATCAGTTAAAAATGTGCCAATAACCACGGCGATATCTTGGCTCGGGAATTTAACATTTGAAATATCGTCGCTCAAGAATTCCAGTTTATGTTTGAAATATTGTTGCTTGTTATTTTGAATATTTTTTATTTACGTTTAAAATATCATGGCTTAAGATTTTTAGTTTTCATTTGAAATGTCGTCACTGGTTATTTTTTGCCATATTTCGTTATTTGTTTTAGTATGATGGATTACAATTTGGCAGTTACCTAATGACAAAGAGGCTGCCATAAGATTCTTTCAGGATAAAGGAATAATCCATAGCAACAGACTTTGTTCTCAAAATCATTCGATAAAGTTAACTTTTGACTCAAACAAAGCTCCTATATGGCCTTGTTGCGTATGTTCTTGTTGTGAAAGAAAAAAAAAAAAAAAAATGAGAACCAAACATGGTTTGAAGGCTTGCATCTTACTTTCCTCAATGCCATTCGTTTCATTTATCTGTGGTGTTAAGAACTGATGGTGATTGAACTTTGTGAACTTCAATTAGAAATGAGCCATAATACAACAGTAGATTAGAATAACTACTTGAGGTATGTGGAAATAGTTTGATGTCTTGTAAAAGAATTAAAATTGGAGGAGCCAACAAAATCCTAGAAATAGACGAAAATGCCGGGAAAGCAAAGACTGTTTTCTGGTCACGGTTTTTGATCGTTTTTCTATGACATTGATGACTGCCATTCAAGAAAACATAGCGGATGGCAGCATTATATTTTCAGACTGCTGGAAAAGATATAAGCAAGAAGAATTAAGAAATTCACTTATGACAGTCTATACATGACCATTTCACTGTGAATCACAGCTTTAATTCTGTAGACACCAAAACTGGATGTCATATTCAAACTGTGGAGCGATTGTGGGGCAGCGATAAATGGAAAAATAAACGTCAGTGGGGCACAGCTCGCTACCATTTAGAATCATATTTAATAGAATTTATGTGACGCCGATTATATTCAAAAACGCAAAATTTTTCTGCAGTATTGAATGATATTTGTAATTTTTATGCCACCTGTTTAGATTGTATTTCATTTTGTTTTGATATTTTTTATTTATGTGTAGAATACTCTAAGTTACAAAATTAAAAAGTAAATTTACTTTCTTTACAAATTACGGGGGAAAAAAAAAAATTTCTTTTTATGGATTTAATTTTTTTTATTCTTTTGAACTCTATTATCATTTTATAATTTAATACTTGGCAAGAATTAGCAGGGGGGAAACTTTTTTTAACTGATTCTGCTATAACAGAACAGTACCCAGCTCTTTATAAACAGTGTGCCAGTCCTAAAAACTTCACATTCAAAGAATTCAGTCTATAAATTTAAAATTTATACATTAAATAGTTATTTATTAAATAGTTTATAATTTATACATTAAATGATACTGCAAAAACTTTTTTTCCATTCACCAGCATGCAATGCATTTTTTGTTTATTTTGAAATAAATATTCTGAGGTTTTTCACAATATTTACTTGACGAATCGGTTCTACATTACCCAAATAATCGCATATAATGTACAGTAGCATGAGACTTTTTATTTATTTGTTTCATAATTCCCATTAAAGGAGTTTTATTTATTTATAGAATGACTGTCATTGTATAATGGATTTTCAAATTCTGTGTCTCTCTTCTATGACAGAAAATTAACTACCTTAGAAACTTTTATTTTTATGAAATACTCATAAAATAAATACCATTAAACTTTAACATTGTTTAGTAGTTCAGAGGAAAAAATATAATAATACATAATAATATTATATTTAATAAGATTTAAAAGTACAATATGTAACTTAATGAATAAATGCTTAAATCCAGGTGCAGCTGAAAAGGATTTACTAAGATCCTTAGCTATGGAAAAGATAATACAATTCAATATTGTAATACCTCTCATGGTATCTTGTGGATAACTTCTGTTATTAAATAGTGAAGAATCTTTACATACATATAGACTGGCACACTGTTAGCAAAAAGAACCAGTAATAATTTTTGCACTTTAAAGTTTACAGACATTCAAAAGAATTTAAATGACTGAAGGAAAAAACTTACAGGACAAACACCACATGGAACCCTCATCAGACCGCAGCTGTGAACAAGGGGTTTGATAACCCTGTATAGATTTTCTCCACCACTATCACTGGAAGTTGATCCACACTCAACTACAGACTTTTCCACTTTGCCATCATAAATTAGGGTATCTAAAATTGTTTCAATGTCTTGTAAACTCAACTGCACCTAAAATATATTTCAATAAAGATTAGTTTATTTAAAAAAGGATATAAACATTCAAACTCACTCACATATTTAGTTGAACTTTACAAACAAAAATAGAATTATGCTTTAAAATGCTATCGCTTATAAAAGTACTGAAAACTCGACATTGTATAAACCTTTCTTTTAATTGCTAAAATCTGTTAACCAAGCAGAACATTATCTTTGAAATAAAGTGGTGGTTTATTAATAGGTAGACTTTAATAATTCCTAACATAGCGTATATGATAGTATAAAATGTGTATAAGCACACTTTAAGCACTGTACTGATATATTTATGCATATGAATGCCTGCATGTTTCCCTGTTCTGTTCAAAGATTTGTTATGCTATTTTAATTTTGTAATTTTTGTCTTTTTACTTTTGTGACATTATTTCTTAAAACCTATATAATGAACCCGATGGCACGATTTAGTCGTTTTGTGAAATTTCAATATATCAAAAGTAGCAAAATGGCTGATGAAAGTGAGATAAACAGTGTGGATTACCCCTCACATTCCTCCTTTCCATTGATCTGTTAGTATGTTTATGGTTAAACCATACTGTGAGCTAAACCTTCTTCAGTTTGCTGGGCAGAATTTCTCAGCTTATATCCAGGTTTGCTTGTGTAGTATTGTGTTATCTGTACAAATGGGAATTTTGAAAGAAGAAAGAAAAAATTAAAGTGATAATGGAAATGAAACTGGATACCTTGAGAGATTGGGGAAAAAGAAAAATATTAATAAAACTGTCATGGATTTATAGTGGCTCACCTGTATTTTTGAAATTTATTTGCATAGATCTTGTAATTAATATTGAAGCACAGACTATTTTTCCCCCTGACATTTTATTTCCCCCCATTTTAAGCCCTGTTGTTACGAATTAGATATCATCAAAATATTTCTTTCAATAATATAATTTACACAAAGCATATTATTTAGTATCTCACATAATAATTCAGGCACTTGAAACTTTTGTTTTGGCAGATGAAGTTTCTTAGCCTAATTGCATTTGGAAATTATTACTTGTTAAGCAAAATATATGAACATTTCCATATCTGAAGTAAACATGGCAAGACGCTACAAACTAACAATAAGTTCTGTTAGAAATTTAATTAGTCACCCTTTTAAAGGTAGTGAAAGTATATGAAATATCCAAGAATATCTTTGATGCAAAGTGTTCAAGTAGCTTTGATGTTACAGGACGATAAAAATTGCATGGAACTTTTGAAAATGCCCTGAAGTTTGGACTACATTCTCAGATAATATGAAAAAGTTGGAGATTCTGTGAAATGTTTTAAAAGAACAGTTTGAAATAAAAGTTAATTCTGAGGCTGTTAGCAAATTATTAGAATACATGGATAATGGGTGATCAGAAAAGAAATTCGTCAACAAGAAAATATGGAAAATAAGCCTGGCATTCACAAAACTAAGGTAAAAAAACATTTATCATGTGAAAATAATGTCAGGTTTGCACAATAATGCTATGTTTGTAATATTTGCATAACATATTATATTTATGTAATTTAATACGTTTAGATTTGATGGATGAACTGCTGTGTGATGAAAGCTAAATAAAAAATTTAATCAGAAAAACCTATTGCCTGCTGTTAAATATGAGGGTGAAGGCATAATTATTTGGGGATGTTTTACTGCTTCTGAGTTGAAATGTATAGTTTTTATATACAATAGTATGGATAAGTATAAATATTAATAAAAACTTAAAATCACAGGCAAGAAAACTCTCAGAATGCAAAATACATTGAAATTCTATCAGGATAGCAATCCTAAACACATAACCCTAAATGTTCGCAGTACAACTGTCCTCAAGTTGTCTAAATTCCTTAATATTCTCCAAACTTCCCATTAAATATATATGGCATTAAATTGAAGAGAGAATAAGGAAACATGAAATTTCTTTGAAAACTCTACCAAAAGCAATTCTTGCAGAGGAATAGTACAAAACAGAACATTCTTACAAGAAAAGCATTAGTTGAATCCAGGCCAAAATACATGAAAAGTGCAATTTTAGCCAAAAGATACAGAGTATGATATTGAATGTCTATTTTTATATTTTTATTAAATGCAAACTGTTTGCTCAAAATGTTCAAATACTTATGACAGTCCATTTTCAAAATTTTTTGAAATAATTATTTTTTTTAAAGAAAAATGCTCTGAATAACTTTTTCTAAAACAAGCAGATTTTAAAGAAATCAACCAATTGCATATGTAAAAAAAAGTAACGAAGTTATTTGTTAGCATTTAGTTACTAATATTTACAACTAAAATTAGAAGTGCTTAATAACATATGTAAGCTAGTGTAGCTGTTAGATAAAATATGCCCATCCCTTCTTCCATAAAACTCAACATCCTCTCAGTCCACATTATGTCAAATTTCTCAGACTCTACTGTAATTATGCAAGCCATCTGAACCATAAATTTTGCAATGATGTACAAGACTTAACCATGAATACCTTCTTCCAAGATATATCCAAAAATCTGACTGACTGGTACACTGTAGTTATGTATTCTTTCAAAAACCTCAATGAAACATTTACTATATTCAAATTACATTTGTGAATGCTTTTAATGCCGTAAATAATACATGCTAACTTTTTTTACTGACAATTTTTTTTAATTGCTTATATTTTTTGCCAATTTTTCTTAGTAAATTTATTGAAACCTGAAATCACAATAATAACTTTTTCCCCCATTCCAGTTCACAATCATAATTGAACATACCTTACTAACTTTCAATCCATTAATATAATTACAGACGTCTTTAGATGATTTGTATGATGCATTCCTCTGTGAAACTGGATCTGACAGCTTATCTGCGACAACTTTCTGAAAATTAAACATTTATAAAATTGAGAAAACAAATGATTAGACAAACTTAGATTAGACTTTAACATTCTATCTTAGACAAAAACCATACCTATGTTATAGCAATAGAATAAATAGAAAGCAACAGATAACACATATAAAATATCAATTGCCCTTTACTGCTAAATTTTGAAAATTATCTATTTTAATTTAGGGTGTAGTGGAGTTCAACTTCCTTTAATAACAACTGAATGATACATTTTTCATGGCATTAATATTACAGCAAAAAAATATATTTGTTTAAACTTAGCTATGAGAAGCATTACTTTCACAAAATTTCCATGAATTTTCCTTAAAATAAATAAATAATAATAATAATAAAAACCTATCGCATTCTTTCAATTATCACTTTGAACATCACAAATGATTTTTTTTTTGTTGCTCATTGCAAGTGATGTGTCAGAATCCACAAAGAATTCAAAAAGCTTCTTTTCCTGTTTGTTGATTTTATATTGCCGTATTCCTTCAAATTTTTACTTCTTTGTATGAAAGAAAGTAAAGGAAGTACAGTAATCACAAAAAATTTCGGGTATCATATTTCAATAGAAAATTCCTTTTGACTACATTTTGCATGGCATCTGTATGTATGGACTGAATAAAGAACTAATTTTCCAAAATGGATTTTGTCGTTACATCTGTATGTATGTATGCATCTCGCATAACTAGTTCTGCACCTCCCTTTTTTATTGAAATCAGCAGTACCAAACATATATATACATCCACCCCTTACCCGGCTTAAAAGTCTTTACCTGGCCTTTATTTTTGCAATCATTAATTGTAGTCGTAGACTTCCAATTACAGAAGTGTTTTAAATGACAAAAACATTCATGTTTCGGCAATGTTAAATTAAAAAAATCTGATATGTACACCACATGACTTCCTTGTATGGAATATTAAATCATACGCATTTTTTCTTGCATTTTATTTAAACTTATTAGATTGAATTAAACCTACTTCGCCGACAGCGCATAAACCACAATAGAATAAACGCATTCTTTAAAATTCACTTTGTTTACCATAGCGACACTGGCGCTAGGTTTACTTAACGGTATTATATTTCATTCATATTATAACTCAGAATGCATAAAATGTATATCATTTAAAGAATTATTTAATCGTTGATACATGTTCTATTCAAATACTATAATAAAGCTAGAACTATGTATAAAAGAAATTAAGCAAACAAAACAAAAAAGAAACAGTTTTTCACAGACGATTGAGTATTTCTCATTTAATTAATTCAGTTCTCACTTCGCGAGAAGGCAAAAATACATAAAAACTCAAAATATCTATATTAAAAATTATGAAGTAAATCTCAAACGCTTATTTCCTCGAAAAAATTCCAGAAAGAATTAAGCATGATTTAATTGGCAATAATAAATGAATGCATTGTCTTTGTTGTTGCAAAGCTAAGTTTCTCTAGATTGGCAACAAAGCCACTACTCTCCTGTTTCAAATGTAAACATCAATGGCCACCATTAAAAACAGGCTTAGCGGCAATTAAACAACTTTAAAATTGCTGATAATTCTAAAAATATTGCACACAGATTTACTTTTGGTGGTCGTGTGCTTAATGCATAATATAATTAAAGAATATAAGAGTAGACAATCTCCTATAACAAAGGAATATATTAAGTACTAAATTACAATTTAAATTACATTGCAGAGATCAACGCAGAGCTCGGAACCCAGTTCAAGCTGCCGTCATGTACAGTTGTCTGACGAGAAGTCTGAGTGAGTAATGACGTCGCTTTGCTGCTCCGATTAAGAACTGGATTTTACACGTGGCACCATCTCATGAATAGAAGTTGAAGTATCTGTCGGAATGCCACAGTACTCCCCCCAAGTACCATCGGTACGTTATAAGTACTTTGGGTTAAATTTAACCTTTCTTCCAGATCTGGTAGTTTTAGGTTGCTCTTTAACGGGATGTAAGCTTTCTTCCGAGAGTGATGTTGATGTATGATGAGTTTTCTTCCGAGAGTGATGTGAAGTTGTTGGATCTTGCATTAGAAATGCTGGTTTGAGACGATCGATTCCAATCACTGATTGTTTGCCATTGCAGATGATGGTGAAATGTTTCGGTGTTCGTTTGACAACTTTGAATGGACCATCATATGAAGGTGTTAAAGTTGGCTTAATTGCATCGTTGCGCACGAATACGTGCGAAGATGTCTCAAGCGCAGGATGTACAAAATAGCTTGGCTGGTTATGCGAAGATGCTGGGGTTGGCGAGATATTGCTCATGGTCTCACGTAAACGTTGAAGGAATGTTGGAGGGTCGATAACTGGAGTAGATTCTGGGTGAAAGAATTCACCTGGCAGACGGAGGGTTGCACCATATAACATTTCAGCACAAGTGCTACCAATGTCTTCTTTGAATGCTGTGCGAAGACCAAGCAAGACTAGGGGTAAGGCTTCTGTCCAGTGTGTGCTACTGTGGCACTTCAGACCTTGTTTGAGAGATCGGTGAAAGCGTTCCACCATCCCATTTCCAGATGGATGGTATGGTGTTGTGCGAATATGGCGAATGCCAAGAAGAGAGGTGAGGGATGCGAACAAGTGACATTGAAATTGTCGGCCTTGGTCAGTAGTGATGGTGGTAGGCATGCCAAATCTTGAAAGCCACTGGGAGATGAATGCTCGAGCTACAGTTTCAGCGGATATATTTTCAATAGGAATGGCTTCAGGCCATCTTGTGTACCGATCAATACAAGTGAGGAGGTAAGTGTAACCGTTTGAAGGAGGCAATGGGCCAACCAAGTCTAAGTGCGCATGATCAAAGCGTCTTGCTGGAAGGTTAAATTGTTGAATGGGGCTGTGAGTGTGACGGGATACTTTACACCGTTGATATCTAATTCTAATACATGAACGAGTCCATTCCGTGATGTCTTGATTCATTGCTGGCCAGACAAAATCTGTCTGCGATCAGCTTTTTGGTGGCATGGATTCCAGGATGTGCCAAATTGTGCAAGGCATTAAACACTTCACGTCTAAAATTGACAGCAATATAGGGACGTATTCTATTGTTCTCTATGTTACAGTAAATTTTAAGCGTTGGATCAATGTGCAGCGGTTGTAACTGAAGGGAGGTTTGTGGATTTGAGATTAGGTTCTTGAGTTCCTCATCATGCAATTGAGCTTTTGCAATTTCAGAGAAATCTGGGGTAGTGAGGTTGATATTGTTTACCCGAGACAAGGCATCAGCGACACAATTATCAGTACCAGAGACATATCTGATATCTGTACTAAACTGGGCGATGAAATCCAGATGTCGAAGCTGACGAGGAGAACATGAGTCAGAGTTTTTTCTAAAAGCGAAGGTTAATGGTCGATGATCGGTGAAAATGATGAAGTCGTGTCCTTCCAAGTTGTGCCGGAAGTATTTAACAGCACAGTACACAGCAAGTAGCTCCCTGTCATATGTGCTGTATTTCCTTTCTGCAGTAGTAAGTTTTCTGGAGAAGAATGCCATTGGGGAAAGTCCTTTAGTGGTATGGGCTTGAAGCACTGCTCCTATGGCCGTGTCAGATGCATCTACCATTATAGAGAGCTGATCACTAGGTGAGTGATAAGAAAGTGTGGCTGCATTTGCCAGATCGTGTTTGCATTGCACGAATGCTGCAGATGCAGATTCAGTCCAAGGGACAGCTCGTTGATCGTTTTTTTTTTGCTATTCTTCAGAAACTCATGTAGGCAGGCTTGTGTTTTTGCGGCATTTGGCAGAAAGCGTCGGTAGAAATTTAACATTGCTAGAAAACGCTTCAGTTCAGAGATGGTTTTGGGCTGAGGTAGGTCGTTAATTGCTTTGACTCTTTCCGGTAAAGGTTTGACTCCATTCTGGGTGATAAGACATCCAAGAAAGGAAACTGAGGGTTGACCAAGTACACATTTGGATGGATTTAGTTTTAATCCATGATCTTTAAGGCGAGTGAAAATCTGACGCAGATGTTGAAAATGTTCTTCCGCATCTGTAGATGCAACCAGGATATCATCAAAATATGGGATGCAGAAATCGAGGCCAGACAGTACTTGGTGTATGAAACGCTGAAATGTTTGGCCAGCATTGCGAAGGCCAAATGGCATATATAAGTACTCAAAGAGACCAAATGGTGTAGTCACTGCGGTCTTGGGCACATCTTCAGCATGCACTGGGATCTGATGATATGCTCTGGCAAGATCGAGGGTAGAAAATATGTTTGTTCCATGAAAAAGATGGGTACAGTCTTGGATATGTGGGACTGGATATCTGTCAGGGACTGTGACGGCATTAAGTCGACGATAATCTCCACAAGGCCGCCAGTCACCATTAGACTTTTTAACCATGTGAAGTGGACTGGCCCATGGACTTTTAGATGGGCGAATGGTTCCCTGTGCTAGCATGAATTCAAATTCTTTGCGAGCAGCTTTTAGCATCTCTGGAGAAAGACGACGAGGCTTGGAAAATACAGGTGGGCCATGTGTTTCAATGTGATGATACACTTCTGGCTGATGAGTATGCTGCCCTGATTTGGATGGGTTTAAAATGTCAGGGAATTCTGCTAATAACCGATGAAACCGTGTGCTGCCCGATACAACACTTATGTTGGTAGGTACGTTCGATATGTGAGAAGCTTGGCCCTGTGATGTCAGCTGAGTTGTAGCATCAATTAAGCAATTATTCTTGACATCCACTAGAAGGTGGAAATGTGTCAAGAAGTCGACACCAATAATTGCTTGAGTTACATCCGCAATAATAAAAGGCCAGTTGAAAGTCCGGCGCAAGTTTAAATCAAGTGTCAATAGTTTGGTGCCGTAGGTTGCAATTTGGGTACCATTGGCTGCATACAGTACAAGTTTATTAAGTTGGTGAGCATTTGTTTTAGTTCTCGGGAGCACTGATATGTCAGCTCCAGTATCTACTAGAAAACATAACTGAGTTGAACGATCAGCCAGTACTATTCTGTCGATGTGGCGGACAT